TACTTTCCTTATATCTGTATACAGATAGGAAAGTAAAAATATAATGGGTACATAATTTATTCAAACTCATTGGTAATTTAATACTTAACAAATTTTTTTAAATACTTCACTGATTAATCAGCCACAAGCGTATCGGATATTGATATTACCTTCACACAAATCAGTTACATTTCGCATATCAATGTTTAGTTGTTTATAATGAACCATAAAAAAAATATAGGATATTCCATTAAACAAAGCATAAGTAAAAATATATTGTCGTCTTTATCGACATGTGAAAATAGATTTTCCAGAAAGTAATTAGTCGTGAAGCACCCTGTATACATAACAAATTGTGTATTTACTATATTTATATAATATAATGTAAAAAAATTCGGTTTTTTTTTTGTTTTATACAAGTAGAATAAACAATTTGATGGTAATAGATAATAATGGGCAATAAAAAAACGCACAAGGGCAATTTTGAAATTTAAATTGGAACCTATCATGCGTTTCAAATAAGTCGAATCGTTGCATGGCGTTGGTATTGTTGAAGTTTTTATTCTCAGAATTATGTCAATGATGTGATTGCATATTAGTTCAATTACTGAAAGTGGATACAAAAGTGGTACAAAATTAGCCAGCACAAATTGTTACAAAACTTCAAATTTATTCATTCAGAAACAAAAACAAATTATTTTACAAAAAAATTATCCGCTATTTCCAAATGGTTGGGTCATAAATTAACTATATATACCTGATTCTATACTCGAACAAAATATTGGAGACGGTGATTCATCCCTGTTCGCGTACAATCGTGGTACTATACCGGTGTGAATTATGAATGGTATCAGATGGGTATAAAGCTTAATTTATAACCGCCGTAACGTAACTTAAGAACTTAACGTAAGAAGTTGAAATATTGAATTTACGTATACTTACGTATTTATAATGTTCGTAACGTAACTTAAGAACTTAACGTACCGTAGAAAGTTCGCCAACTTTTAACTTAACAACTTAAGACCTACGGTTAGCCAATGAGATAATTCTGAGTTCAGCATGTGATAACTGTCAATTATTCTCTTTTTATTTTTTTTTTATAAATGAATGGACAAATACCATTTGTAAACTATCATTCTCCTTTTTGATGGACATACATTATCATGAATGATTTGTGTTTATGTTATTGGGGATAAACTATTTATGAGATATGAGTGTTGCTGCATATACCTATAAACATCAAGTCTAGAACTGAAATAAGACACAAAACTAGTTTGCTAGGAAAGATTAACTTCTCATTATTGCTCAAAAACAATCAACATCTTCGGTAAACTATTCTGTTTTATTATATTTTTATATTATTGCTTTTAAATTCAAAATATCATTTTGACTCTGAGAGATAATTAACCACATTTAAAAATTATAGGAGTAAATAAATAGGCAAGTTGTAGGTCATAAATTTAAATACTATGGCCATGTTATCTAATTTTTTTTTTAAAATTAAGAAATATTGAAAAATTTGAAATGTTAAGGTATAAGTCGAAATTTATATACAGAGTGTACAAAAAGTAACGTAACATACTAATATTTAGATTCCTGATAGGTTTACAGAACAATTTTGAATAAAATTTCATGAAATGAAATGAATCAAATTTGCGCGAATTTCGAAACGTCGGCCGGGCGCGCTCGCTTTGCTCGCCCTACTCTGTACTGGTTAGGAGATGGGTGGGAGGAGCGTAGCGTGATCTTGTAATGTGGGTGGAAAAAAGGCACGTCGGCCAGGCGCGCCCGCTGCACTCGCTCTCCTCTGTAGTGGTTTGGAGGTGAGTGCGAGGAGCGTAGCGTGATCTTATGGAGAAACTGTTGCTGTGGAAACGGTTGTCATGCTGACTAAACAAATCCCGTAGTGAGAAAATGCCTAGTTGCCAAGTTATAGATAGTTTTATTTTCACTTTAGTTTAGATTGAGATATTATGTTAAGAGTTAATCTAAATATTAGAGACAACTGCGCATTTCGTTACCACTGGATTTAGGTTTTTGTTTAGTCGCCATCACGACAAGTGTTCCTATGGCAACGGTTTCTCCGTAAGCGGCCTCAGCTACACTAAAGTGAAAATTAAATGACCCGTAACTTGCCAACTATGCATTTCCTTACCACTGGAATTGGGTTTTTGTTTAGTCGTTACCATGACAAGTGTCTCTATGGCAACAGTTTCTCCGTAACTGATTACAGCTAAATTAACTCCTCTGTAACTTGGCAACCAAGCATTTCCTCACCACGGATTTGGATTTTTGTTTAGTCATTACTATGTCAAGCGGTCTCATGGCAACAATTTCACCATATATGATTTCGTCTAAAATAAAGTGAACATTATGTGATCTATAACTTGGCAACCATGCATTTCCTCACCACAAGATTTAGTTTTGTGTTTACTGGCAACGGTTGCCATAGCAACCATTTTTACGTAACTAATTTCGGATAAACGAAATTTGACCTCAAATTCCGTTTAGAAATCCTCAAACTTAATTAGACATATGACATATATAAGGTTACCACGGTATATTTGACGTCACCACAATAACCACAATACTGTAACCAAGTATGTTGTGGTAAGCTTATAAAGAAATGCCTTAAAAGTATCCACCGAGTGACGTCACAGTCAATTCAGCACAAATTGAACTAATTCAGCTATCCTCTTGTTGATAGTACTCTTTTAACTTGGCTGGCTAGCTTTATCAAACAAATAAATTCACTTGATTCAAAAAAGTTTTAAAAACTTTTGGATATCACAAAGTAATTATGTTTCAAAGTTTTTGAAAAGTACATTGTTTATTACTTTATAGATATTAATATTTAAAAAATATGTACTACAACAATTAAATGAAAATGGATAAATAAATCATTGGGTGTGACCGGAAATAAATTAATAGAACTGCTTTTTTAAAGAGTATGGAAATGTTATGTCAAAAATAAGGTATTTTTACTTTCCTATCTGTATACAGATATAAGGAAAGTATAGGAATCATGATTTTTTTCGACCTCGAGTTTTCGACGGATTTTTACGTTTTGAGGTCCCCTGAATCCGTTTTGACTATTTTCGCGATGATGTCTGTGTGTGTGTGTGTGTGTGTGTGTGTGTGTGTGTGTGTCTGTGTGTCTGTGTGTGTGTGTGTGTGTGTGTCTGTATAACGCATAACTCATGAACCGATACACGGAAAAACACCAAATTTCAAACTTAAGCTTTATTCCAGCGTCTAATGAGCTGATTAGATTTTGGGCAGAGTCGGAACATCTGGGGGGGTACTTTATAGGTGGTCATTTTTATATTTTATGGAATATATCTGTTATTTACGTTTGGGGAAGAAAATTTTTTAAATAAAAGTTACTTCTTATTTTATTATCTATAATTTTTGTTATTTACAAAATTTTCCTAAAATGGTCCGTATTCGAGAAATTTGACAAAATGTAAAAAAATATTTTTTTTTATAAAAATTGTTTAAACAAAAGTTGTTTATAATATAATTCTCTATAATTTTTGTCCCATAGATAATTTCTCTAAAATGGACCGTATTCGAGATATTTGAGAAAATTTGTAAATTTCGAAATGTGAAGAAAACTCAAAAACGGATAAAGAAAAAATCAATAAATTTTAAACTTAAGTTTTATTTCGGCCTGACGTGAAATGATTAGATTTTGGACAAAGTCGGAACATCTGGGGGGGTACTTTATGGGAGGCCGTCTTTATATTTTATTGAATATATCTGTTATTTATGTTTGGAGAAGAAAATTGTTCAAATAAAAGTTACTTCTAATATTATTATCTATAATTTTTGCCTTATGTAAAAATTTTCTGAAATGGTCCGTATTCGAGAAATTTGACAAAATGTGCAAAATTCTGATTTTTATGAAAATTGTTGAAATAAAAGTTGTTTGCGATATCGATCTCTATAATATTTGTTCATACATGATTTTTTTTAAATGGACCGTAATGGAAAAATTGTAGGAAAAGTGCTAAATTTAAATTTTTCAGTATTTTCATTTTCAATGAATATCTATAGAAAAATGTTTCGCGGTAGATGTATGTGGACAATGTATATATTTAGTTTATCCTCTAAACATTTATAGAGGTGCTGCAATAGGTTGTACACAATAAACGGAAAAAGCCTGTAATAACTAGATAGGAAAGTCATGTGTTGGACACATCAGATTTTTTATATTAATTTTAATTGGACACTTGGCTACACCGCTCTAATTTGTATTGACAGAGCATGACAGATATAATTCTAAATTCTAATGAATGTATGAAATGTTAGGAATGTTAGGAATGTTAGACGTTAGGAATGATTGGAATGCGTAAAATAAGTCACATAAGAAATGCATGGGTGGATTTTAAGAACGTTGATATTAAAGTAGTTAGGATGAACCAAAAATTCTGAAAATCAATAGGGTTCTAAGTTTGAAGCAATTATTAGGAAACTCAAAACCGCAAGTCAATTAGAACTTTCGTTCTAGAGTTATTGTGTCGGTATATATACACACAGACGACCAGACGAATTTTTTTTTTGCATTTTTGGACTCAGAATCGGAAACGTGAAAAAAGTATAAAAAAATGGGGGTAAGAAAATTTTTTCGTCTGCACGAATGCAATACTGAGGCCCCATAGGAAGGGGCTCAGTAAAATAATTATCGTAAATCGATAAAGCTATAAAGCGATACAAATCTAACTTCGTCGGGGGGGGGGGGTATTTTAATGTTTATTTTTGTTAGTTATGATTGTACAAGAACATTCTTTTAGTAACAATTATTTGTGATGTAATTGTCTATAATTTTTATTTTAATTTTACTTGTTTTCTCTAAAATGGACCGTACTGAAGAAATTTGAGAAAAAGTGCAAAATTTTAATATTTCGGTATTTTTGTTCAACACTTTTATATTTGTTGACCTGTACTCAGTATATTTGATAACTTTACAGGAAAATTATGTACCTATTTTACTTAATTTTATGTGTTTTTGTTTTCAGAGTTGTTTCCTTATATCCCGCACACGTGCTACTTTGGAACCCAACTGTGCCAGACGGTAGCCAGCGACTGTACAGAATATCACAGATTAAGGACCTGTTGCTGTCAAAAATTAACCTTACATAAATGTAAGTAGTATTTTGTTCATAATTTTTCAAAACCAAGATTTCCACAGAGGTCGAACTTTAATTATTTGCCAATTATTGATTTCCAACTTCCAAATTTTAGTTCTCGAAGATGAGATGTCTACGACTGAAAGTTCCGAAATTGTTTTTCATAAAGAAGATTTAATAACCGTTCCCTTTACGCACGAAAAGAGGCATGCTAAAAAATCGGAATTTGTATTAATGCAGAAACGAAACTTTAAACAAATAGGTATAATAAAAAATAGAGTATATGTATTTTATAACATTTTCTTGTGTGGTATAGTCAGAGCTGAGGTACTCAGTGCAAAAACGTACTTGAAATAAATAATCAGTATTTTTTGTACTTTAAGTATTTTACTAGTATTCTAGGTAGTGAGGATACTGCAAAAAAATAAAATCCACCAATCACAATTCATATTTTCGTTAGAGGGTGGTAGAAAAAATATTCTGTACAACTCGAGTGGATTGTCCATATCACACTTAGAAGATTGACCATATCTACTATTGTTGCATAAACTACTATTTCCACACAGCGTGTGGAAAATTCAACTTACAGCACGCATTTACGTGCGTAAAAAACGTTTTTCCGCACGCAAATAGGAAAAATATATTTTTGTAGAATTCTATGATTTTTTTTCTATAGAAACAAAAATCTTAATCGGTTTACTTCGAGGGTAAACCGCATTATGGTATGGTACCTTTAATTTTTGTATATACTTAATATCTACAACTTATAGAAATCATGGAAGTTGAGCATGATTTATTTGAGGCGACTTCGGCTTCGTCAGACGATGACCCAAGTTAGACCCCCAAGACACCCAAAAAAAAGTTGTTGCCAGATTATTTTGGAGTAAGGAATAAAACCATAAGTCAAATTTAACAAATAGAACTAAGTCAAAAACCAGAGCAGTTTAGCGATGGTCAAGATAATTTGCTTACCGAAAAAATACAAAGCAACCCTCTTTTAGATGGAAAGTTCTATGAAGTTGTTGGAAAATATACAATTTATATGATCATGTCATCATCTAACAAGTAACAATGTAAAACTAAAGATTTCAATTATTTTAATAAACCAAGTATACATTGTATATTGTATGTTATACACATACAAACATATTGGATGGCCATTTTTATTGGTCATGTCTAAACGAAATAGTGTACTTCATTAATTTATACAGAGCTATATATGTTGAGTTTTAAGTTGATAACTCAAGAGGGGATCTTTAATTTAATATATACTTAAAACATAACTTAAGTAATTAGTATTTCAAAATACTAAATATTCAAAAGTACTTTAAGTATTTTTAACATATTTTAAGTACTTAGAATTACTTCAGTATATTGAATTTACTTTAAGTATTTTTAAGGTATGTACTTGCTACTTATACTTGAATTATTTGTTTTAAGTAAAATACTTAATATTTCAAGTACTTTCGTAAAATACTTATACTTAATATTGTAAGTAGATTTGGACTTTAAATTACTTAATACTGGTTACTAGAAGTACATTTGCTAAATACTTATCACAGCTCTGGGTATAGTAGTACTTGGTCACAGAAGAGAGAACAATACAGAAAAGAAACATAGGGCTAGTTCCACCACATAGATACTCTGAGAACACGTAACTATTCACCGTATACCTGGCTCTATGATGTGCTTTAAATAGATACGTTTTCTCAGAGTATCTATGTAGAGGAAATAGCCTTATGTTTCTTTCCTACAGTGTGTCCGTAAAGTATGGAACAAATTCATTTTTAGCTAAACATACCATTTTAAGAAATAATCCTGAAACACGTCGATTTTTGATTTTAATTTACCGTATTTTAAAATAATAATCTAATATACAGGGTGAATTACTTTCGAGTAATGACGTCACCGTCATTTTTTTTAAATGGAACACCCCCATTTTGTCTCAATTTTCGGATTACTCTAGCTGAGCTGATTCCAAAAATGTATCACATGTTGATTCCAATTGGTACAGGGTGGACTTGTGGTCTAGCAGACAGAATATGAAAGAAATTATTTCTTATCAATTTTGAAAAAATATAGTCGTCTAGTTTTTGTGAAATGTCATTATTTGTTTAGTAATTTATTGATGTTCAGTGACAGTTTAGCACTACAATATTTTTGGTATTCGTGAATGTTTTAATTATTGCTTAGATTTAATTTGAATTAGAAATGGAGTTAAGTGTAAAACAAAAAATTGAAATACTTATGATGATTGGGTATGGAGACAGATCGCGAACTCAGATGGAAGTGTGCAATTTGTTTAATGATAAATATCCGCGTTATTCAACAGTCAGTAAGATTGAAAAGAAATTTCGAGAAACTGGTACGGTTGAAAATGTACGCAAAATCAGGTCGTCCCTCTGCAAATGCTGATACAGCATTAGATGTTTTACTTAGTTTTGAAGAAGACGCGCACACTTCTGTGCGTAAAGTTAGTCGCGATATCGGTGTTAGCAAAACAACGGTACACAAACTATTAAAGCTTGAAAAATGGCATTCTTATAAAATCAAACTTGTGCAGGAATTAAACGAAGATGATCCCGATAGAAGAATCCAATTTTGCGAAAAAATGATGGATAAATGTCACCGAGACCCTCTCTTGAGACAAAACATTATTTTTCTGATGAGGCCACTTTCACGTTAAATGGCGAGGTTAACCGTCAGAATTGTAGATACTGGGCAAAAGAAAACCCCCACAATACCCGCAAAAGGTAAATGTATGGGCTGGAATTGTAAGAAATCGAATCGTCGGACCCTACTTTATCGAAGGTAATTTAAACGGGGCAACGTACCTTGAGTTTTTAAGGAGGTATCTCGTACCTACTTTGCGTAATTTGTTTCCCAGCAGACGTAATCCTGGAGGTTGTGATGAAAGTTTATGGTTTCAACAGGATGGTGCACCTCCACATTGTAAGGGGTTTTCTCGCCACAGAGAAAACGTTTCCTTACGAATGACGCTGGTTACGGGCGGTTCTTGAGCGCCAGATTTTTGGTGATGGTTTACTCCACGAACTTTCGAAACGGCGTCGGGTAGCTACAGATGGAGATGAAAAATTCCAGGGGTCAAAGGTCACTTAGACACAGGTAATAGTAGGCCACAAGTAACGGGCTTTAATCGTTGCTTGGGCTGGTACAGAATTAATCACTAGCTGAAATAAAAGGGGGAAATAAATTTAGGAATTAACAACCAGTAATACGGCCAGTTAACATTGACACATATATTGTTTTAAAATATTTACAAACGAAAAGGAATAAATTAATGTATTTCAAATGTTGTTCCCCAAAATATATTTTGTGAGTCGGTTCGGCGTGGCTTAGTGGTCCAGGATAGTGTGGCGAAGATGTGACAAGAGGTTAGGTTACCTTTACGGTGATGGAAGTCCCTCGAAGTCAATACCTTCGTGGGAGAGATTCACGGGAAAGAAACACCTACAAAGTCAATACCTTTGCAGGTAAGGTTCGGGACGTCGGGAAGCCCACAGAGTCAATACCTCTGCAGGAGCAGGAGAGGAGAGTCTTACTAAGTTAGTACCTTAGTTCGACTGACGAGAATTAAATTCGGAGCTCTTTATATACTTGTCTCTGCTTGGCAAAAACGGCTACATGCTGAACCATAGGCGTATCTAAAACGGTGTTACTTGGGAACATCGTTACAATTTTTAAGTTTAAACCTCGAAAGTAATTCACCCTGTATATTAGATTATTATTTTAAAATACGGTAAATTAAAATCAAAAATCGACGTGTTTCAGGATTATTTCTTAAAATGGTCTGTTTAGCTAAAAATGAATTTGTTCCATACTTTACGGACACACTGTATGTTGTTCTCTATGCTGTGACTTGGTGAATAAAACCAAATACTATTTTAAAATCAACACATAATACAAGACACTATAACTACTTTTATATTCCACAAACTGTGTTTGTTAAAGGTTTACAAACATTATTAAATAAACTATCAGTGGATACATATGAAAAGGGCTTAATTACTTATTAATTTTAAGCATATTGACCATTTTTAATATTTCTACCTTCTCTCCAAATCTTTTTATTTAGAAATTTTTATCGGATGACAATTATACTATCTTTTTTTTTAATTACAACTGTTTTTATTTTTGCACTATTATGTATTTTATTATTGAATTTATCTATTTTACCTAATAACAAATTGCTAAATAAAAGACCGTCGAAAGCTTTTTTTTAGCCTCCGACTGGTTGTTTTTCATTGCACAATTCCAATTAATATTTTGTCGTTTTTTCGTTAAAAATAAACGAAACAAAAAAGTACATTTGCGACGAATTACTTCGATTAAAAGCTTTTTTGCCATTTAAACCTTGAATCGCCTGTTATGTAAAAATATTTTAATTCAATGTTAAGGTCGATTTTTACAACAAATTTTCGTTACAATTAGTCTCTTATGGTAAATTGAATAGGTAAATAACTTGTATTTTCGTGAAAATTACAGAAACAATGGGATTAGTCAACGCTATAATATTTAAATTTGACAATGGAAGGTGTTCGTTTTATTTATTTTTAAAAGGAAAATTTGTCAGTTCTGGATTATACAGGGGGTGACCGAAAAGGTGAGGGCTGCCCACAACTTTCTTATGTCAAATGGCACTTTTTCCAAACTCGGTTTGTTAGAAAAAAATATCGAACAAGATGTATTTTTAACGAATTTCCCATTTTTGTTAAAGAGAAACTCATATTTTTAAATGTTTGTCTGTAAAAATATATTTCTTTTTTATACATAAGAAATAAAAAAAAATACTTTTAAGGATAATATGTACCTATGTCATTTTCTTATATTTTACGACTGATAAACACTTTGTTACTTTTTACATACAATAATGTATTAATTTATTTTTTCTCTTGTGGTTCGTAAGAAACAATGACTGTGCTAGCTTGATACTTCAGCTACTATAGCAAGTGCTGTATTTCTGTTTCTATGAAATATATCAGAATCGGGTTTGCGGCATATTTTTAACTAATTTTTTGCTTTAGAATTATATATTAACTTATTTTTTTTTTCTCTTGTGGTTCGTAAGAAACATTGGCTGTGCTAGCTTGATACTTAACCTAGAATGGCCAGTGCTGTATTTCTGTTTATTTGAGATATCAGAATTCAGTTTACAACATATTTTTTTGGTAGGGGAAGGGCGGGCAAAGTGATATAGTTTACGATTGAATGGCTCTTACAAAGTAAAAATAAATCTAAAAA